ATCGATAAAGAGCCATTGCTCGAAACGTCTAGCTATTTTTAATAGTTATTTAGGACTACGATTACCAAATATTATCTTCAATATATCATACTTATCAGTCCGAGCAGCGTTTATTTATTTATAACTTTTATTTTATTGGTTTATCACCATGCAACATCACATTACCATATTTGCTCTTATCAGTAGTGAAATCGAATAAATTACAAAGGTGTTTCTATGTTCAAAATAAGTAATATTTTAATGATTCATTATACAATGCATGTAATTTTTTGGTTTAAATATGCTTCTGTTGGAGATACATAAAAATAATCAATAATTTCAGTTTCACATCTAAATACAAACAACGGAATAGTGCAATAGATCTCGGGTACATGGAGGACATAACTACATTTAATATTAATTATAACTTACTTTGTAATGATTACTTGGAGGAGAGCCTTTGGCTCCTTTCACATACATGGCTTCTTTCTCTTTTCCTGAAACATTTACAGGTATATTTAATTTACATGTGTAGGTATTAAACTGCTTTTGGAAATAATTGTAGGCTGCCCTCTGATAAGGGGTGGCATTCATTTTTTGTTTATCTTTGATATTCCAGAAACTAGAAAAGTAACGTGAATGTAATAAAACTGTATACAATAATAATGGTTTTTATACACAATATTTGTTATTACATGCCTTTACTTTCACAGAAATGTGATACATGGACATTCATTATTTTGAAGTTTAGTGAAGTTTTATGCTCCATTGATAAGCCTCAAATGGCTGTTCAAGATGTTGGTCATTGTCAAAGTTTGAATGTTTTTTTTTTTTAATGTTGATATTGAATGCCACAGTTTTCTATTTCACATTTAAGCCTTCTGTGCACTGTGTGGAGATTCTGCTCATTCATAATATTTGCTAGGATTTGTTTTATTTATGACTTTTGGAGGGACTGAATAATAACTTGTCAAAATGAATCACTTTTATGACTATCAGGCAGTATGTATGATGACAAAATAGTTTGACAGGGTGTGATGACAAACCATGTGATACGCCTTTTTGACACATTATGAACTTACCAATAAAAGTGAAATACTGTTACTGTAGCACAAGATATACAACAGAGTCCATCTGTTATATGAAGACTAACCTGGAACTGGTTGAATCTGAACTTGACTGAAGTCGCATGTAACATCAGGCAGCATATATTGTTTAGGATTACCAATTTCATAAACTAATTGTTCTGCTACAGTACCAAAAGACACCAATCCTCCAGTCTGTGGTGGTTTAGTCACTATAAATGTCCCATCATCTGAACATTCCACAATAGGGAAACCAATATTATCCCTACAAAAAATGTTAACAGTAAAAAACATGTTGCTTCGTTTAAAAAACACCTGGATAGACAAGTTTGCCAATTATCATATATTGGGGTAGCTACATGTATACTTGTTTATTTTGGGAGTGCATATACTGCAAACAATTTAATTTTCATTGCTAGAAATTTTCAAGATTTTAGGCTCTTATAATATTCATGAGGAAAAAATGCTGGAAAGTCATTGACACTCAGTGTCATAAGACCCCAATAAAATTCTCACTGCTGTCCAAATGGCTGTACATAAACAATTCAATAAGACAATTTTGTGCAAAAAGTGGAAGAGGTAATTACATCTGCAATACATAGCTGATCAACCAGTCATGCTGAACTCCATATTAGTTGGTTGAATTGATGCTTTGATTCTTAGACTAGCAATGCGCCTTTTCCTTTGGTCAGATATGTGCCACATTTGTTTTGCGGGCTTAACTTTTCAATTCAATAAACAACCGATAGAACTAACCCGACTATAATGTAATATCGGGATGTCTTTTATTTCATCAAATAACTCGTGATAGTGCAAGATGTACACAGATAGTAGTATTAGTTGGGTCGTAGTTCAGTTTCTTTTTTGGTTAAATAATCTCTGACAAAACATATACAAGTTATTCCTGTATTTATTCTCCATATTTCTGTAATTATGAACCGAACAAAAGAGCAATAGAGATAGCTAAAATTTATGCTCCATTAAAATATCAGCTTCCTACTGAATATTCAATGACTTCAATTACTTAGTTGCATAAGCATATCAAGTTTTCAAACTCATTGTCCACAAAAACAAGCAAGAAGCAAACACACAAAGGAACACTGTCAACGCCAACACTGCCATTTGACTTATATAGAAAGATTTTCACATATTCTAGGAAAATTCAAAATAATGAGAAATACTACCATACATTTTCTGATTATATATTCATAAATCTTGTAGACAAAATTAGGAGATATTGAAAATGTAATAACTTACCCAAAAATTGGCAGATTTGAAGAGAAACAATGACAATTGAACACACAGATTTCATTTACAGTGAGATCGAAAAGTATGCGCCAGTGCATTTGAGAATCTTTGAGTTAACATGTGTAAATAAACTACCAGCAAGATTTCCCCGAGGCATGTATCCAACACACCAATAGGCGTTGCTAGTCTGTCTATAGAAAGTATGAGTTTGATTATATTAAATTTTCACAAATTACATCATTACGAGACTCAGAGAGAGTTGACTTGTAGTGACATTAATGAATGGAACTGTTATTGTTGCCAGAGAACCTCAGTCACTGAGGGTAAATTTAATGGTAAAACATCACGCCATGAACATCCATGGGGGTCACTTCGGTCATGTTCTGTCTTCACATACCCTCCGCTTGGGAAAAGGACTCCATCCTGCCCCCCATTACAGGGTTCGACAGCCATTTGCATGGCACCTCCCTACATTTCAGCCTGGCAGTGTGTCCTTGACAGTGACCTGATCGAAGGGGCCCCTTGCCCAATTTTTATTTTAGGTAGTTTATTGTTTATTTTTACAAGCCTTATTTTGACTTGTTTCATTTTTGTAGTTGTTTAGTAGATTGATTTTACAGAGTGGTTTATTTTACATGTATTTGTATTTATTATTTGTTTTTCCTTTATTTTATTTCAATAAATTGCTTGTCTTTTATCCCTTATCTTGGTTGTGATGTGCATTTACAAATTAAATGAAATTAATCAATGTTGCCTAAATATGTCATTATATCATACATGACCCGCGGCTCAGATGACTATTTGCTACTAGAGATGATCAAAAAGTCAACAATTTATGTGATCAACTCACAGAATGTATTGTTACTTCAACCAAAACACATAACATTTCCAAATGCGCTCTCCTTAAAAATGAGGCGAGTAATGTTCATTTCAAATGCGTGCCTTGAAGTGCGGTGTTCGTTGCAACTGTGCATACTATCTGAATTTTTGGGGAGATAAACATTGACTCAAGTATGTATAAGTTGCTAAGCAAAGTATGAGACCCACATCAGACACACACATACACTTGTGATATTCTTAAAATGTTTGTAATACAAGATTGTGTAGTGAGCCATGCAGACTCACCATGCAGGCACTGTATGCCAATCTGTGTAGATACCACCCGTAACTTGAGCACCACACTCTACAAGATGACCAGCTAAACTACCAGCAGATAACAAATCATAATCATTATATTTCCAACCAAACTAAAAAATAAACACACATTGGTATAATTTATATTTCCTTGAACAAAATTGCAAAGTTTAGTCTCACATACAGCAAGTATCATTATCATTATTATTATTATTATACAAAGGAAGATATAAAATTACTATATCCCACATCAGGAAACACTTAAACAAAATTTTTTTTAAAAATACATCATACAGTGAAGGGCAGTAATCAAATATGTATCTGAGTTCAGGACCAATTTTTACAATTTTGATATGGCATCAAATTTATATATCAAAGTTACACCTGAGAATCTAAAAATTACACACATGCCCCTAAAGATGTACTTCCTAGCAAATATTGTACCATTAAAATACAGAATCATTATCATAGAGAATGACATTTGTTACTAAAATGCACAAAATATAACTTTAACTTTGTCAGTGCAATTTAGAAAATTTATGACGGAGTATATAATGTGCTGTATTCCCACCAGAAAGAAGATATCATGAAATTTTAGGTTTTAAGGTTAATAAGAAACATTATATTTTGGTACGGCACTAGATATAAGACAGTGTGCCAGGAATGCATCCATTTTTGTTAGATAATTATTTAACTATGATCACTATGTACACAGTCTAACTAAGGTATTAAATGGATGGGTAGAACCATGGAACTATAAACCCCGGGGTTTATAGTTCCATGGTAGAACTAATACAATTACTACAATAGGCCTAGGGGGCTGTCTGATATTGTTACCTATTACGCATAATGAACACCCAGAAGTTGGTCGGAAAAATACAGACATCAGACTCTTTTTACAGGCTATTAAAGCTTTATCTTAACGAGTATATCCTGTACTCACAGTATCTTCTATCTGGGGTTTGGATACCAATGTATACAATGTATGCTAATCTTACAGGGTGACAGAACCAACCCTCCCATGAATCTCACATCCCACCTTCCCCCATCCCATCCTCAATGTGAATTGTTTATTCAAGGTAGAGATGCAGTTTATTTGTGAATTTCAATCAAAGATAGTTTTTTTCGTTTTTTATATAGATTTTTATCTAAAGAACATTCTGTGAAAATTTGACCAATGAATTCTTATTGGAACACCATTAAAATTGCTGTTTATTTTCTGGTTAAAAATAAAAAACACTCACACATGGCAATGTTTATGTCCAATTGCCTAATTTGCATGAGTAAGCAAATAACAGGACCTTTGATTGACAATATGCATATCGAGATTGTACGGGTCATAGTTCATTCAATTCACGCGCATGTGCAATTATTCTCGAATCAGTTATCGCTCGCTAGCTAACCAAACATTATATTTCCTCAGCGTTTTTTTCCTAA